TTGCTGGTGTTAACTACAGCAATTTCTGTTCAGCTGAAAGAAGTGGGAATTCTCTGAACAACTGAATTTCTTACAAAGAGTTAGCATGTGCTGACATTTTTATTTTATTATAATGCTTATGCTTTAAATAAAATTAGTGAATTTAAAAGCCCAAGAGTTATTGCCACTGGCAACTGAAGACTTTTGTGTGCCTATTAAAAGACACAGTATTGCAAACTTGTTCATATTGTTTGGCTGGTGTATCTCAGTTCTTAACCAACAACTTTGCTGCCAGCTTTCAGACACTTACCCATTGTTAATAAAGAGAAAACCAATATTGGATACAGCACTGGGGGCAGATACTGAATTGAATAACTAGGGTAATGATTGCAGAAATCAATGTGGACAGTAAGACATGGAACATCATGACTGGCTGTTTTGGTTGCATGTTCTTTACTTTCCTCCTTTGGTCTCTTGTATTTTCCTGTGCCTTATTATATTGAACTGGTCTGACGGAAGGGGGTTGCTAGCTTCTGAAAATTTAAGACTCATTACTAGTACTTTTTGCAAAGTGCTATGACAGTTTAATGATGTAGGCACTGTCTCCTAGCAAACAGGCTAAGATGAACAAGACATTTAACACAGATCATTGAACAGCTGATGGCAAATTTCAGGTGTCACATCATCGTATGTTAACATGGAGCAGGAATCACATTTTATTGTATTTTCACAGCCCCCTAGTACATGACAAGGACTTCTTATTTAATAACAATAGTACCAATAATATCAATAGTGACCATATTTAAAATACTATTTCCATCATTTATTCCTGACAGCAAAGACAGGCTAAAGCTAAGGCTGACAGCACGGCTTTGTTTCCCATATGCACAATGTATGTCTTTATAAAATCATATGCAATTTTCTGAATACTAATGTATGCTATCATTTGTATATCTAAAGCCCTGTAAAATGCATGTTATACACTGAATGAAACAAAACTCTTCAGGCTTTTCATTCCTTGTATAATTCCCTAGAGTTCCACAGATGCTATAAAAAGCCTTAAGACATAGAAGTGTGACAGTACAGTATTTCATACAGTATTTATATAAATTTCTGAAGAATATTGCACTGTATGAATAATCTTTGTAACTTCCAAATATTTACATTTCTAAATCTGACCCTTTTGTAGGACTACAGAAATTGTAGGAAATAAACCTTCCCTTGTGTACTCACAGGAAGCTGGGTTATCTGAGTTTTAAGCCAAATTCAAAACATACTTCAAAAGCAATTGCCACACAGAAGACACTGTTTATGTGAGTAACTTGGTTACGTCTCTGCCATATGAAGTAAAGTGTCGTGCATCTTCCTGAGCATATGTATTAATACACGCAAAAAAGCTGATATTACTTTTCTTCTTTTAAATCCACTGAGAATCCATAGACAGCTGACAGTCTGACATTTACATAAAACTTGAAACTGAGTCCTTCATCAGTTAAAAATCTGCAAACTTACACACGTTATCCCAACCTGTGTTTCAGGCGTGGTTCCAAAAATACTTTATGTATAATTTCTAGATCAGACTGTCCGCTATGCAGAAATCAGACACAAGGAAGTCTGTAAACTCTCTAAAATTCCTCAGTATCCACAAAGTTTAGGAAATGTTTCTTAGTTTCTTTAGTTTATGTCCAGCTAGTACTATGAGCTGCCTGCTGACAGGACTATAGGTCCCAAGTTCCCTAAAACAAATGTATTCTCATATAGCTATCAAAATGGTGACAGAGTGTTAAAGAATCATCTGTTTGGGTCTGACCACTTTCTTTCATACTAACTCTTGTTTAGTTATGAAATTAGCTACTCCACTTGGAAGGGATGCAGCACAGCAGAGAAATGCCTCAATTGATCCTTACAGAAAAGCTCACCAGGCAAGTGAACTGTGCTTGAGACAAATACTTGACTCCTCTCCAAATGACCCCTATGCTTTTCTTTTGAAAAGATTCTTCCTGGAGCAAGTTGTAATGTAATGGAAAAAGGTTCATATGTATTCTTCCCTGCTTCACATACATACACTTTCAAGGGCCTACTGCATTTAGCTGGCTTATATTTCTTGATGTTTTAGCCCTTTCAAAATTATAAATGGCAGATATCAATGTACTAAAACAGTTCTGGTTTGTCTTGGGGTTTTTTTTGGCAGAGGATTGTTATATATCAGTTGTAATAATTCCTGTTGGCTACTTATAGGTCCTTCCTAGGAGGCAAGCTAAATATTATGAATAGCATGAATTAAGCTGTACTTTCTTCTTGATATATCTATTTTTTTAATTTCAAGTTGAGAACATAATTTTGTAACTGTTTGGTTAACCAAACAATTCTTCAGAATTTAAAATGTGACTTCTATATTTTGTCCTTAGGCTACAGCAAATTTTCTGATACTGCTAGTTACTCAGTTGGGCTGTGAATTAGGTATGACCATCTGGCATACAGTTGCTGCTGGTGCAGATAAAAATACCAATGTGTAGCTCTCACTCTACAACTGCTTGGAAACGTCTACTCGTTGACTCATTACTTAAAGTAAATATAGAAGAGGATTTCTCAAAAAGCCATTGTTAGCTGGAATATTTATAATAGGATAGAATCATTGCATGTGGAAAAGCAACAGGACTCTAAAATTTGTGCAACAGGTGTGAGAAAGAGTTACCTCCCTTTCTTCTTATCACTGTGTTGGTTAGTAGAGCTGCTCTCAGCAACCATTTACACACGTTGAAGGTAGCCCCACTTCTCTTCCCAGCAAGCACTTTGTTGTTATGGCACCAAGGGTCCACCCCTGCCCCCTTGCACAGGAACTCCCAGCAAATGCAGGTGGGACTTTACAGATGAGAGAGAGGAGAGGAAGCAAAGATACGCAGCAGAACAAAAAAGATGTCAGGAACAAATGGAGGAAAAAGGCAGAAATTTTGTGTGGCAACTGTGTTTCCACATGGGAATCCAATCACCCATCTCCCCAAAGTGACGAAGTCGTGGTTATGACTGAAGGTGTGACTGTTTTATTTTTTCCCTCACCCCAGGCTCTGCTCTGCCCAAAGAAAGGCATGCACCCTACTGCCCATCAGCAGAGCAGGGAGCTAGCTTGCCGCCCAGGCTCTACAGCACCCAACAGACTTCCCATGGGCTCCTGAGGCAACTGCTGGGGACCATGGGCCAGGCAGGGGACATGGAGAGCTGCTGCAAGAATGCATCCCACCTGTGTGGAAAAGGATACTACGGTTGCATTCACACAATTTTGTTTCAAATGTCTCCCTCAGCAGTTCTGCATGTCCTTAATTTCAGAAGTGGCCTTACTCCACTTTGTTCTGATAACCCCAGCTGTAGGTATTGCAAGGCCTTTCTGTGTTACTGCTTTGGTGCTTTTAAGGAAAGGCAGTGCAAGTCTATCTTAAACCTTTGAGTGACTTGGAGTCCCATTATAGTCAAAGTCTACTTGCACTTCAGCTTCAATTCTGAAAAACGGTTAATGCCAGTATTGCAAAATCTATATAAAGCTTCTTCCAATGCCCCCCTGCCACCACCTGCAAAAGAAGGAGTTATACATCAAAGGCTCTTTTTCTCCCTCATCAATTAACTAGATTTCCCAATTGGAACTCCCGAGTTGACCATTAGTCTTATGAGGCAAAAAAATGTGTAATATAAAAACCTGCTCGTTCCCAAAAAATGTATCTAGGAACATTTGCACTAAAAACATTTACCACAACAGCAAAGAGTTGGATTGAATAAAAGGTGGTGGCTTTTTTATAATTACTTCCTGACACAGAGTTCCCCATTAAAATGAGAAAGCAATCTGTTCCCAAAGACCCTGGTCAAAAAAATGACCAGAAGATTTATCCATAAACTCCCAATGCAATTAATGGAAGTTGTGTGCCTAAACTGCCTTTACAGCTTTCGAAACCTCAGACTATGTCTACTGCTTGGTCCTAAACTTGCAATGTTTAGATCAGAAAAAAAAAAAGTAAATTTTGGGTAGCTGTTATTTTTTTCTTCTAGAGGCAGGACAAATAATCCAAAAATAAAGGCTGTCAAAGGTACTCTTACTATGTAAATTAATTTTATTCAAAACAGATTAAAAAAACTAACAAAGCTTGCCTAACTACATGAGGTAGTACATGTAGCAAAACAGAAGGCAGAATATAGTATTCTGAAATATGAAGAATACGAATAAGTTTACAAGTTGGAAGGAAATAAATTCAACAACAGAAACAAAAAATACCAAAAATAAAGTTTAACAGCTTTTCAGTCTTAAAGCACCAATACACTTTTCATAGAAAGAAACATAGTATCACCACTACATGTTCTTCATATACCATAATATGGTAAAATCAATGCACAAGGCTGTTCACCATAAATACATTTTTAAAAATGGTGAAGCAACAAATGACATAATCATCACTGGGCTCCGTACCACTATACTTCCTGGCCTGCAGGAGTATTTGCCAGGTCATGAGGAGCAAGGTTAGCCTTTGTTACCATTTTTTTTAAGATTTTCTTAAACATTTACCCTCATATTAATGTATAGTATACGGATACCATGCACAGCTTAAGGCCTCAAGCTTGCAAATTTTTATGTATGTGTACAATTCTACATTTTTGCTGAAACCAAATTTAGGTAAACTGAAGGAGTCACATGGCAAAAATAAAGCATGTATGTGTGCAGAGCTGCACTGCAGAACTGATGGCTTATTCCTTAATTTCAGTTTACTCCACTTCTCAATATGAAAATTTTCTTAGATTCTTCAGGGTTATATATGTCTCTCTCTCACTCACCCATACCAAGATAGCTGAATATCTGTGAAGGACTAGGCCATAAGGAATTGGTTATTTGAACTAAAGAGCTTAGCAGCATCCAATAAACATTTTATTTATTAACATATTTAAGAAATAATAAACACGAATGGCCCAGTCTCTAAAAATATTTCTTTAGAGGAAAACATGCTAATATGACCCAGGACTTCCCTATAATTTATATTTTCCATTTTACTTCAAAATAGGTATTTGTACTTATGATTAGTGTGAAATTGAAAACAGTCTAGTTCTTCATTTATGCTTGCGTGGCTAATGCTACTGTAAATCATCAAAAAGTTACATATATATTTGTTTTGCTTTAAGGCATGATTTATTCTATTGAATTATTTGGATGGCTTCTTTTACGTACGTTGGAAATAAAAACTCAGGCCTCCCTATGGTATAGTTTTAAGGTTACTGTTAGTGGCATACATAAAGCACCATACAATAATATATTCAGATGAAGAAAACAAAGAACATTTATGAGCTTTGAATTAACTGTATAGGAGTAACTGCTAAGAAAATATAGCAATATTTAACACAGGATTCAAAATATTGTTATATATCAGATTTTCAAATGAATTTTTCTCCCATGTTTACTTTTACAGATTTTTTTCATTAAGATATATATGTAATTTAAACTTTTTGGTGGAAAGCAGTATACATCTTCTGTACAATAATGTTACAGCTTTATACAAACTTTAGGAATTATAAGAAATGGCCTTTATTATTCTCTTCCAAGTGCTCTGGTTTCACTTGCTTGTTTACATTTTACTTGCTAGACTCAAACAACAGCAAATACTCTGAATGCCTTGCTTCCTGGAGGATTCTGTAAACTGAAACATAAAAACATTCCTGGTGTTATTTTTAAGACTGCAACACTCCAATGATGACTTTTGTGAATTGTTAAACACAATTCTAGGATCCTGCCACTCCTGTGATCCTTCCTGTGACTACGTGTACCTTTAACTATCTAAGAACTTTTTTTAAAGCTGTTACAAAAAAAATTACATAAATTTCAGATTAATTTTTCTTCCAAGCAGCTTATTAGGAACAAATCATAACATAAAAAAAAATCAAGTAGTCCTTTGCAACGAGGGATTCTGGTTTAAAGAATAAAGTTCTATTGAAGCAAAATACTAAAAAAAGTTTTTAGGAAAAAGAGAAAGCATGCATCTTATGCTCACTATTTTAATAACTATATTCAGATAGAACTTGCAGACCTAGGAGATCACTTGTTTGTTAGTTGCTTCTAAAGAGAATTAATATTTTACAAAAACAAAGGAAATGCCTTCTGAATGGATAAATACCTGGCTTCAAAAGAAATGAAACAAAAATACCCAACTGCAATGAAATTTTTTTAGAATAAATATTTTTGTCTTATAAACTGAACTAGCATGTTATATTTAATATTCCCATTGTTTTCTCTTTTGCAAACCCTGTCTGAGGCATATCTGGGAAGGAAAGGCAAATGGAGGTGAAAGTAAGGAAAGGCACAATGAAACAGGTTGCCTGCAACAGCATTACAGTCCATCTTCTTCTGCTTCACAGAAAACTTGCACAGGACTATTTTCCAAACCGCTGACCTTCCAAACTTTACCAAGATGGTAAACTACAAATAATGATTAAATTTGCAACACTTTTCCTGGCTACATCTCTTCTCAATGAGGAGATTTAGATGGAGAACAAAAGTGTCAGTAAGGAAGCACTGTTTCTGAGAGAACTGGATGGTCATGTGGAAAGGCCAAAGAGTAGGTAAACCAAGTCATTCACTAAGCAAAGGAAATCTGTATTTTACAAGTTTCCAGGTTTGTTGAAAGGTTTTAGGGAA